GAATTCGATAGGTACAGTAACACAGTTCAGAGAAGGTAAAGAAACAGTATGGGGAATAGTGTCAGGATTGGTTTTAAAGTATGCAGATGAAGGTGAATAATGAGGAGGGAAAATTTTTGCTTATTAGTGCTGTATGACTGCAGAAGCCAAGTAATGCTATCGTGGATGCTTTCGAATCCATTACCTAATATTAGTAAGTCTAGTAGGTTCGCATTATTAAAACTAAATTTCTATGCAGCTGAGCATTTCCTAATAACTACATGACAAGTGAATAAAACTTAGAGTTTAACCACCTCACTTTCACCATTAAGTGGTTATTATCATCGAACTTACAAATATGTGAAAGCCACAAAGGAGAACGTTGTCTCGATTAGTGTGACAGACAATTTCAAACAGACTAGACTTTAAAAGTGTGAGAGATGCTCACGTATGGCTTGTTAATAGACGGCTGGTCACAGATTTTCCGACCACTGCATACCTGCTGATAACATCTACATGCAAATTCAGATAGCAAAATTTATTATTAGTCAGCGTTAAAGCGTATATTCACAGCTGCTGCATTTGACCACACAAATTACATGACATGTAGAATACAAACTTTGAAGTTTGGCCCACAGTATAAATCACTCATTCCCTGAATTTCACATCTTATGAACTCAAAATCTTACAAGAAAGCATCGCGGTAACAAGCTACCAAATTTTCACGTCAGTCAATTTTCGTTCTCCTATAATGAGCTAGTAATTAGTATATTTATTGTTGGTTCTGTTTATGATTACATTGTATTTCTGTGTCATATTTTGATAATTTTCAGAGATAAAGACATGTTCGTCTAAGCTGAATTGGCCATTCGATGGTATACGCTTGTGAAGACGCCACTACCTAGTTAATTTCTCCATCGAAGACAACAGATTTCTCTGCATAATTTGTGTGGTGCAGGTGTTCGTGCGTTACAATCATTCATTCACTTTGCTTTGCACTCCATTCAAATGCATTACCGAAGTTTTATTCTTCTGGCTCTACACGGTAATATTATCACTTATAGTTGATCAGTAACCAACACCCTAACAATGTGCATTGGACTTTGTACTGTGTACACATAGAACGTAGGGCTGGCTATCTAAGATCGTCGAATAATTCACACTATACTTTCTGAACAACTTTGCTACTCTTAATTGACTATGAATATACCGAGTCCTATTTTGGAGCACGTCTTTATATACTTGGATTGGAATGAACGTTCGCGAGCTGCTCGTGTGTGCAGGAAGTGGTATTCTGTGTTCCGTTCTCCGAGTTTGTGGAGAAGAATTGTGTTTAAGCCACCATGTCGGCGGTTGACTAAACTTCAATATGATATTAGGGGATATCGTTTGTCATGGTGAGTTACGTTTTTGTTTCATTGAGAAATGTATAATAATAGTTTCATGGGTTAGGCATTCGACTATTCATTTTCAGTGTATTTATAAGTGTTCTGATACTGTTTTCTGAAGGATCGACGACAGTTTAAAGCTTACGGAATCATCAATAAATTATTGTAGTAGCTTTTATTATTATTATTATTGTATCTTTTAATTCCTACAGGAACATAGGGCTTCAGCCGTGCGTCTCCATGGCGTTATGTTCTCTGCTAGAGTCTTCACCTGGCTCCATGTCTGCCCACACGTTTTCATCTCCTCTTCACATGACCTCCTCCAAGTCACCCTTGCACTGACGACCAACTCGCCGCTTCCCTTTCGAGTTCCACTCAAGAGCTTGTCTGGTGATGTCACTTGATGGTTTCCTAAGAGTATGGCCAATCCATACTCTTAGGAAACCATCAAGTTTTTAGTATAGTGAAATTATTGTATCTTGGACTTGATAGTTATGGTGACTGCGATTTAATATACCTAAGCAAACGACTTCACATTTTCGTCAAAAGACGTTAATGTTTCTGTGGTCTGCTTCATGATTATTTTCAGGTGACTGATATTTTTAGATAGAAGTCTTTCTCAATATGAAGTATTGTCTTATTCATGAAACATTAAAAAAGTTAGAGGCATGGGAGTCTCTGTGATGACCTACATGGTACACGTCCAAACCAATATTCCACGATAACGGCATTTATTGAAAGACGACCTCCACCCTGTCCAAACATTTCGGACTTGAGATCTACTTACACGATAATGCCATCAGATGCAAGTGATTCTGATGGGTCAATATTGATCGAATACACAGTTTCCGTATGTCCTCAACTCAGAGAGGCTAGTTTCCACTGGAGTACAGAAAACTGCATAGTATAGCCGATCTTCAGTGTCCATGCTAACGTCGCGACGGTGTCAAAGGTAGCCCAGGTCTGAATATGCCTCCCTCACTTTCACCATATAGATCTCACCCACCAGTCTGCCGCTATTATTCACATCTATGCAGATACACGAACTTATTGACTATTTCTGACGGATTTCCTGAGAGGGTGACTGGAGGTTCAGGCTCCCACCAATGCTGTAACCATAGTCTGCACTTTGGTAGAGCAGAACACAAACCATTCTTGAGAACACTGACCAACAACTTGTTACGTGCGCTTTGGTTGACCTCTGAGTTAATGCACCGTAAGAAGATATCATCTGCATATTGAAGATCAGAATGTCTTTCTTCAGGCTGCACATCCATACTACCGCTCACATCTGCCTCCATAATTTTACCGACAGGATAGTCGAAATGAAGTAGTGAGATCAGGAAACACTGTTTAGCTCCACTGTTGGTTAAGAACAGCCGTGATAGCTGGTCGTATGCCCTTACCCCACTTGATGTGTTTCTATATAGGGCTTCTAGGATGATTAAAAAATTTGTCGGGAACACCTTTCTCTGACAGACAATTCCAGAAATCAATGCTGATCAGCAAATCTAAGGTAGCTATAATATCAAGAAATACAAAGATTTTCGACCTGCGATATTTGTTGTGTTGCAGAAACTGAAGGATGAACACGTGATCAATACATTCACGACCAGAACGAAACCTAGTCTCCTCTTTGCGAATCAATTACTCACACGCTCTACAAAGCGTGCGGAGCTGTGTATCAGCCAATGCCCCGATGGTTGTCACAAGCATTACTTACACTGTTTTAGAAGATCGGCACGGTAATAACTTCACTGCACATACGTGAAGTGTTCTGATTTTCTCATACTTTCCTGAACAATCTAGTTAGTTCCCTAATTAGTCGCACCACTGTCCTTAAAAAGAACAGGTATCTTATGGCGCTTGAATGCTGTGAGTTCATTTAGGATAATGGAGTATTCTGGTTAATTAAGTTGGAAACTGACGCTATGGGCCATCTTCACAGTTCCTCTAAGTGCTTTGTTCAGAGTTTCATGAGTTTTTTCCACCTGTCATATGCCTCACTGACATCATGTTCTTGAGCCAATTGATCAGATGAGCTGGATCAGCTTCCGACTACTATCAGGTACGACTGTTGATTCTAACTCAGACGCATGTCCTGACCATCAAGCCTCGCGGTCCTTACGTAAGTGCCATTTGACGTTAAGCGTGGGAGTCGTACACATGTTCACATACTTGCTATCCACCTAAATGAACCGACGGGCATCAAGAAGTTGCAAGAAACTGACAGAAACACAGTGGCTTTCAGCGGGAAGTTCCCTTAAGTTACAAGTGGGTCTACTTATCATTTCCAAGGGCAGTGACTGTTTGTTTATACAACCTGTCCTATTCATTACTCTAGCTCGGTTCAGTACTTGTCAGCTGTAGCAAGTGTTACTAGTTCGCTTACGTTCACCTGTTGAGGACAACGTTTATGATCACCAATAAATGGAAAGACAGGAACATACTAAACTATGGTCAAAATCCAGACATATACTCCAGAAGGAGCTGCAGTTCTCTATGCACCCACTGATAGGTGGTACAACTACGACCTATTTCAGTCCAGGCTTGAATGGTAGAGGGGAGAAGACATGTTGCACTACGGCGACAGTTGAGCCAGAATTCGGCGCTGGCTAGTAAAAGCTTGTGATCTGCACCGTATAGCCCTTTTAGCCCCATAGAACACAGACTGTGAGTGGGGATCCAGTCGAGTGATGCAGCTTCGATTATAGCACTTAATCTGACACCGATACTAGCTAAGTTCGATGTCGATGTCACAAGATCCCCTAAAAAGCGCATATGGTACACGCTATTTTGAATTGGAGATATTCGAAGTACTTCACCTGAATCTGATATACTGGTCTCAGTAATATAGCATACGTCAACAGCAAAGCTTTCCAAGGTTTTAGTCAGATCTGCCTCTTGTCCGATTCACATAAATGTGTGGACATTGTACGTGGCGAGCTCGAATGTGAGCTGTCGCACTGGTGGCCAAATTCCTGAAGGCAACTAACTAGCAACTCGAAATGATGTGGAATAAAACTTCAAAGAATAGTGAATGACTGACGAAAGTAGAGATACCAATACCAGGTTATTTATGGAGGCTTGTAAACCTGTAATGAAAAATGTCTAACCTCTAGTTTTTGGCATATTGAGGGGAGCAGTCATTTAAGCTACATCATTCCGTTCTCTGAGACCAATAATCGGAAACCTATTGAACTTGTGCTGTTTCGAAGTCTGACTACCCTCAGCTAACAACACTCATCAAGAAATGCAGTATTTTTAGACACTGAATAGAATTCCTAGGATATTCACTACTTCATTGGCAAATTTGTCGTTCCGGAAGCGAAATCCGGGATGGGCACTACGTCCTACTGGTGACATATTATTCAAATATACCGACGTTCCAACGAGTGATGACGTTTTCTCTGGGATTCAGACGCGTAATCTGTCGTCTTAAACAATAAAGCGGTATTCATCATTAGCCTACTGAACGATTAGTGCCTAGTGTTCAAAAGGAGCAGATGTAATAGTTTTCTTTTCAAAAGATACAATGCTGAAACGCTCAAAACTGCCTGAAGATACCATAACCATTTCTGCAGAAACGCGTACACTTTGTTTTTAGCTGTTCTAGTTCATTTTTAATGACATGCCTTTTATTCTTTGTTGTACATACAAATGCTAGTGATTTCAAAAGAAAACATAATAAGAAGTTTTATTCAGTCATAAATAAATTGAAGTCATTGGACAAAATGGAAATAACCTACAAAAGGCACAATTTCATTAGATAAAGTCTAGTTAAATGCAATCATGTGCTTGTTATTAGTCGAAATAGGAGGGAGAAAAATTCGAAAGGTACAGGTGTAAAAACATTCTTATTGTTCGTTAATACATGAGCAATAAACAAAATTTTTCAAAGACTCTAAGCAAGCAAAACTCTTAGGGGATGAATGAGCTAATATCTGAAGTCGAAAGGTACATACTAGGAATATTAATAATAACAAGGTGACTAGATAAGGCACTCACATCTAAGACGAAATTATCTCTTTAATATATAAGTGAATAAATAAATAAATAACTCAGAAAAGGTAATTACTCAATTGGTTATTAAATTCTGAATTTGTTAAGAAATGCCATCGATGTTGACCCAGTACGGTACACAGGCAACACTCTGCTACTCTTAATCTAGACGAGACTGATTCCGACATCATTGTACTATACCAGGCAGAGATGGTAGCTGGAACATTCAACGGACAAACGCCATCCAATCGGCAGCATTCCCTTTGAACAAGCAATTGTAATGGATTATACTTGTATTCATCGCCTGTACAATTAGGTTGATTTCTTTGATGACATATTACAAGTAAAGTTAAAATATGTACATATGCGCTAGAGCCACCAAGAGCCAGTAAGGTTAAATGTTTACAAGCCTTGATTAAATCTTGTAATAAATGATCTAATCCATATGAACAATTATCATCACAAACTTCACTAGACTGTTTTCCCGAAGTAGGTGGATTCAATTCAGAAGGAATATGCTGAAGAAAGAAAAAAAATCAAGGAAAAAACTAGAGAGGTTACTCTATGTATAGAAATAAGAAGTGAGAGTTTTGGTTTGAAAACATTTCAAGAAAATTAAGTTTTATTTTGTTGATATTTATCCATTTAAACCTTAATGTTTAGAAGATATTGGATCATATGGTAGAAGTGTTTACATAACGCCACTCCAAGTATCTCTTGTTTTACAATTACGTAATACTACTTTTACCTTTCATATAGGAGATCAGACTAAAAATTCCAATTCGTATACATGGTGTGTTGCTTAACAACTATATGTACGTTATTTCAGTTGGGAACAAACCAGACCTTATTTGAAAACCTTTTCCAACTTCCAATAAGACGGTTTTATTCCTTCCCCATGTACCGGTGGTTTGGTTGTTGATATATGTTTAGCAGGTGCTCAACAGGATCACGACTAAACAATCTCTACAATGTTCAGAAACTCAAGAAATATAGAACAGTATCTGGTTATTAAATACAGAGACAACACCTAAATAAACTAACGATATACTTCTAAGGAAACTGATGCTGACTGCAACAAGGATTTACATATACTAACTATTTGTGAAATCAACTTACCTCTAACACTATTATCAACGATGTGAGTGATTGTGAATAGGAAACAGGACTGATCGGATTACGTGGACTAATTAAATCCACGATGAATGTAGGTTCTCCGTTTAGAATTAATGTGATTGAGGTAACTGGTGCCGGAGGAAGAGGCCAGAATGAAAGTACATTGTGTATTGAATTTAACTTATCCTCTGATAAAGAATTTTTCCAACGCAAACAAGTTAAATCTTCAACTAGATTTAACTTTAAATGAACTGTAAAGTGTGGCCGAAGGAAAAGTGCTGCACGCCACATGTTTGGGAGTATAACTTTCCATTTATAAGTTTCTTGACTAGTACCATATCTTCGAAGGTGTGGAATATCTTCTGTCCAATCAATTAATTCTGACATAATAGAGTCATTAGGATCGAAATTATGATCCTCATTGAAACCTACACCTAAATCATCAGAATCATATGATATTGTTCGTTGGACATGGGTTAGGTTTCCAGTACGAGGTACGCAGAATACTGTTAAATCAGTCTAGGTGGAAAGAAATAATGCACAGAATTTCAGATTATTTTAACGAAACGAAAAGAAACCGTAAAATCTCTAATTCTCGAAACTTTTAGGCATTATTTAAAGAAGAAAAAGGTGTATTTACAAAAAGGATAAAAATATCAAATCAAACTATACACACTACTTTGGATGGAGTTATTAGAAGAGGAATTTTATCTTAAAAATGTGATGTATCTGCGCAATACATTTCGGGCACACATTTACTTGTCAAAGCAATTTAAGTGAAAAATGAACGGCGAATTAAAGTAGGCGAAATGATGATAAGAGATTTATTGCACCCTTAACCTACCCTGGAAGTCCTTAACTGATTATATATTCTCATTCTTAAACTCTTTCTCCGTCTTTTTAGTATCCTTAGTCAAATTTACTAGAAGAACTCATTTTTTCACGAGTACTACTGTTCCTATCGGATAGCGTATAATCCAAATGCCTGAAAATGTTAAGATAAACATCCGGACTATTAACTTCAACAATAAAAGAACAAGACTAATCTATTTACATCATTTTGAGCCTGACTATTACAAAAATTAAGATGATCTTAGGGGATGTTAGGATGTACAAGCTTCTTTGTTAGCCATGAAGTCCCGATTTACGCATGCGCCGACATGATAAACTGATTGGACAGCATTTGATTCGTTAATTTATGGCTTAAATTCCTGAAGTTTTGTAAATATGCTGTACCATATATTTTGTCTAATAAAGGTTGTCGCAGTTTTTGTCGGTTTTTTTCTAGTTTGACTTTTGTGTTTATCTTAGTGTGTATGTGTGTGTGGCGGAGGGGGGGGAGGGAATATTTCCAACTGATCAGTTGGTTACAGTGTCGTGTTTGGAGGCGCATTCTAGTCAAGTTAAACAACCCCACAAATCAGTAACACTCCGTCATTATAGAGGGAAACTGATTTTCCTCAATAAATAACAATCTAACAACGAATGACTTCGTCAGATAATCATTCATACAAGAATAGGTCGATGAATACCATAATTAAATAAAGTAAACGATTTTGAAGACCACACCTACCATAAACTCATCACAGTCTCATTTTAAATCAGTAAGAAAAACACAAATATTTGAATACATTAACTGTTACGTTTTTTTAATATTATGTATTTGAGACTTATTTTTCAGTGTACACTAGAAGTGAAAGATAGAATATAATATCCATATCTACTAACAACCCTTCTGAACAGGACTGTTACAAACACATTCACCGTCATCATCATCAAGGTATTGCGAGTTGTTTTTTCATAAACGAACTGATATCATACTGAGACAATAAACTTCTGAAACAGTATTTATAATGACAGGCATGAAAAATACCCCTAGTTAAACACCGGCGTTTGTTTAATTAACCAAATGGGATAAGCAACGTGCTTGAATTACTGGGCTAGAAGAAAAACATTTTCCGGCCTATATATACACGCATAAGTTTACTTCCTCTTAGGTTGTTTTAGTGAATCAACTAATCCAGTCAATCGATTATAGACCAGAACTTCACCATCCAATGTTTAAGCCACCAGGTACCATCATCAACTCTAACACAATAGATGCGACTCATTTTCAAGTATGTGTACATGCATTTTTTTTACTGAAATGTTTTTTAAACCTAACGCTATATATCTTCAAAAAGAAAAAACAATTCCACATTGAATAATAATAATAATAATTTGCTTTATTCCAAAACAGTACTTGTGATACAGAATGGAATTCTCAGCATTTTTACTACAGTATTGCATCCAGTTAGTACATTATCCATAAATAGAATTCTACGTAGATTGAGGAAACCACAGTTCATTATTACAACAATACACTGGCATGTCAGTAGCAAAGGTAAAGCTGAAACAGTGTTTGAAGGTGTTAGAAAAGTGGGAGCTGTCTTATTAACTGGCGTAAGCGAGAGAAAGAAACAAAGCAGCACATAACGGAAAAAGAAGAGAGAGAAAAGGAAAAGAAAGAAAGAAAATGTTGTACCTATTGATGATATGGGTTGGAAAGACGAGATCCAGTTGTACTACTGACTATTTAATGAATTATAGGTGTCACGCCTAATGCTTTCTTTATCACACAGAACACGAGCTAAGTAGGGTATGGTTGAGTTTTTGTACTTGCTGGTGCGAGCATATAGTTTTCTATATTGGCTTCTGGTTTTACCTGACGAGATGCAAGGGTAGAGTTAGATAAAATGGATTTGGCCCATTTTTCACATGAGTCCATGTGCCTGTCAACCAGAATATTAACAAGCTGGTTAAGTGGCACATTGCTTACCCTGCTGACAACATTTAACATCCTGCGTAATATGTTATAGTCTTTCTTCATACTGCTCATTATTACTAATATTTTACATAAAATTTTTTAAGTAATTATATATTTTGGGGTGATTTACGCTGCGAACTCTGTATTGTGCATGAGAATACCGTCTAAAAAAAAGTTATTCACTAATATAAAGCCAAAAAGTGAAGAAAAGATTTTGTAGGTGCAAATCAAGGGCTGGGTATGTTTTTTGTTACACGTGAGCTGCGACAGCTGATCATAGTACCCAGCGACTCAAACCAAAGTAGGTATAGCTGACGCTATGTTCTCCAGAAATGACAAGTTAGTGACAAGGCTTTCACTGTTGTTCGAGAGATAATCTTCAAATAGAAGTAAACAAGTAAGATTTCTTCATAACGATTTGTAGAAGCACATCGTAATGACAAAATCCAAAATAATTCTTCTTAGCTAAAAATATTCCCGATTCAGTTACAGAAGAAAATTTGATCTATTACGTAAAACAAACTTATCCATAAATAAAAAAAACTGACTTGAATTAAAATTAGCTCCTTTAATGGAGTTTGATATAAAAGTCGAAGAAGCATTGGACCAGTAAATTGCATTGGGCTTAGAGTAAGACGTGTAATCTTTGGAAAAAGATTAGCTAAATCACATAAAGGATTATCACCAATCCGATGGGGTCGAGCACTAAGCCAACGAGGATCTAAAAGATACCAGTCTTCATCAACGTGCTCAGAGTTATTACTGTTTAAAGCATGGCTAATATTTTGACAGTCGTTTAGAGTAAAGTTCGGGAAGCTTGGTACACAATCACGGAGATATGTTGAAACTGCACCACTTGACGGTTTGTTGAAATGAAGAAGGTTGAGATCAGTTAAACACTGTGAAACAACCTAAGCGAGAAATGAACAACAATGCATCAAAACTAATATGTTTAACATTATAAGTAGCATAAATTACAATACACCAAAGGATAGCTATTGTTGCCTGCATACATACATTTGACTCAGCACCAGTGAGTTGCCATATTAAAGTTATGTATCTAAGATGAAGACTTTTACAGTCAGTTAGTTTCATAAGTTTTCACATAACTCATATAAGTCGACTTTCGGTCACTAGGGCCCAGGTCAGAATACCACCAAATCCACTTCAGGCTTGCCAACTACGTGGCACCATTAGCCCACACAATAATTGTGGCTTATAGGCTGGTACATAAATAAATACGTTTCACAAAACTGTGTTTAAACTGAGTATTACTACCTTTTCGACTCCAAGTATGGCTCATAACCGAGTACAATGACACCTTGAATCTACTACCTGAAACTACTGCATATCACTGATCAACTATTTACTTGCAATAAGAAACTGTGTTTCACATAACAAAGATAACACCTTATTTGGGTTCGTTTCAACAAATACTTCAACATACCACAGTATATAACTAATCAACCGAAAAATATTCTCATACTGAAAGTACGAAGATTCATCCGGATACGATAAAAGTCAATATGACCAGGAAATTCAGTTTAGTTACGTAGTTATTCCATGTAAGACTATGCATAAAATTATAAACTACTGATTGATTGCGATGAGTAGTTGCATACCACTCACATTAACTAGTAGTGCCTGCTAGTCAAATCTAAGTGATCTAACCGCTGGACGGTTATTTCGCTCTATTGAGGTCAAGTTCATCATCGCCAGTTCCCGGTATGACTCAGCTCAGTTCAGACCAGCTGCTAATGAGCTCCACCCCAAAACTAGCGAAACGATCATTCGGTATTTAGATCACTTCGATACAGTTATCAAGCGCTACTGGTTGATGTGAGTGGTGCACAAATACACTTACTAATCAATCAGTTGCATGTCGTTTTATAAATTTACGCTTGGTTTCTTGATTACCATTTATGGTATCAAGTACATCACATATTGTGAACTGAATAATATCGGTTTCCTAAGGAAACAGTAGCCAAATAATCACCTTGACCTGTGTCAACTGCGAATTAATTCGCAAATCGTGAATTTGACTTAAAGACTATGTTTGACTCGGTAGCACATACCAATAGGAAATAAATGACGCTACCTTTGATCAACGTTAAGATCGATTTTATGATTTACAGCTCACACAAGAAACACCAACTCTGCAGGCCTTCTTTGTCCTCACAGCGTTCTAACTCACTCTGTAATAATATTAACGCTAGACAATAAGATGAAAAATACTTCCCAGCTGTGTAACAGAAACTAATGCACCGCTTTAGAAAACAGAGTGGCACAAACAGAACTGCTTACCCATACTTGTATATTAAGAGAGAAATAGAAACAGCTTTTGTGAAGATTGACACACTAAAAAAATAGTAGCAGCCGGAGTGGAATTCTAAATCTGTTGGGAATTGGTGTTTACGGAATCCATGGGATATGAATCGAAATCCACCAGATGTAAAAATCTAATAACTCTTAAATAACATCCTAGAGATTTCGAAAATCTTCATAAGCAACTGTTAACCTGCCTTACCCCTTCTTCAGATTCTCTTCGCTGCCTGTGTAAAAACTATATAAGCACGATTTTCTGAACACTTTTCACTAATTGTGGAACTTTTTGTCAACTGACAACATGTAAAATTTGCAAGTATGTTAAAACTTTTCTGTACGTAAACCTCACAATTTATTTAGGGTGTAAGCAGCTGATGAGAAGCCGACGAAATGAATGATGGTACCATATTATTCTGCACAAACCACTGTTGTTCTTGCTTTATTTAAATATTCCGGTAGAGTTCTGTTAGTGTCCCATAATTTCGCTACTGTCGTGAAGTGTAGTAACTTGCACTTCTGTGAAACATGTTATGTTAATTCGTTTGCCTACTCAGGATGTATTAAAGTAGAGCGTCTGGTATATATATATATATACATATAATAACGCTGACTTATTGAGTTACCAAAACATCTCAAATGAGCGCAACAAAACTGAATTGAATATTTTCACGCCTTGAAAACAAAATATACTGTTCATTTACAATATCACGAGAATAGTATATTTACTAATATAATGATTTTTTAAAGAAACATAACTATTTTAAAAATTAAAATAATTAAACTGCACTTGAAACTCACATCACTCAACTCACAAACTAACCGCCTAGCATCATCTGGAACAAGAAAAAGATCCACCAGTCGAAGACGACGAAGTCTGTTCAACTGACGTATAACTCGACTAATTGTTGTCAACAATGCACCTCCAGTTCCATAAACAAAACCGCGTAAGTCATCAACCTCAGCATTAAAATCCAACTCAAAAGAGTGAACAACCGGTGGATAGCGAGGCCTTGCATAAGACTGTACTGTTGAAGGACACTGAGCGCTTTGACTACGCTGTAGGCTACTATTGTGATACCGTTGAGATGGAGGATAGCTAATTGATGACATTCTGTTTAAGCTGAACTGTTCAAAATCATCGAACAGTTCAGATCCCTAAAAATAAAAACGATGTTTCGAATTTAGGCCTGTAGTACAAATATAAATCCAACAAGATATAACAGAAATAGGCATATTAAAGTAGTGAGGTAATGACATAAACTGAACAGAAACCGGAAAATTTAAGATATCACTTTTAGAAAACTGTTGTACTATATAGCCATCACCTTACTAGTGCATGATCCCTCAAACAAACTACTAAACAGGTTATAACTTAGAGTATTTATAAAATGCAACAATCATATGTTCCTTCGCATGGCTCCTGATTTTATGACTGATAACAATAACTGTTTACCTAAATGTCAGCAGATCAGCAGCTGGGACATTTAACAGCCTAGAAAAATAAGCTACAGCTGCACATATTTTCACCAAGTTTTGTGACCAAAACCTGAATGAAAATCACACACATACGTGTTAAAAAACTACCGGACAAAAACGTGTAGATGAGAATAACTCATTGTAACGGGAAACATGGTTAGAATCTCAGTGATGAAGAGGGAACATAATCAACCAGTGCAATCGACTTCGACCTCTGAATAAAAGTCTACACTCATTAGTTTCTAACATTCCGAGAACACCAGTTAGGTAATCACAACATATCTGTTGACACAGATACTCAATCAGAGATTCTATCATTGGTTACACATCTTAGTCTGAAAAATCTCAACTCTCCTTTAACCTACTCCTTCCCACGCTAGTTTAGCTTGTTCTTCGAGGAAGACAGTTGATTGACACAGTGACCACATGTCTATCTACTTCCAAAGAAGAGGTTAGCAGACTCATCTCTGTTGAGCCTTTCAACCCATTGAAGTCAATCGGACAAAGACACCAATGATCGAAAGCCTCAATCTTTCCATACCCTTCAGTTTCAAAAACTAAGTATATCTCACAGCCCAAAAGTAGGATATGGTGAACTTCTGCACAGTACACATGCACATTCATGAGAAGCTGGACATCTAGCTGTCATCCAAATCACACAAGCTGGCAAACGTCTACACAACCTCTAATATCTGTTCTTAGTCTCCACCACCTACCAACAATTTAGTCCATACGCGACTTCCGAAATAATTAGTCAATGTAGTAGACTAAGTGGTGCATCATCTGACGTTTGGCAGGGGCACGGAGCAGAACAAACATCCAAATTCTCGTTCAAAATGTTCAGAAGAATGAATTTTGTCAGTGTTTCCGCTTGAAATGACAATATTTCCTGTGCATTATTAGTGGAACGTACCCCAAATATTCATCAACCTCATTCAACAACTGTACGACAACGGCACATGTCAAGTGATCCACAACGGAAAACTCAGCGAAGTGTTTGGAGTAAACACAGGAGTCAGACAAGGGTGCTTATTATCACCAATGATATTCCTAATTGTGGTGGACTGGATTATGCGTCAGACAGTAGGAAACGAGGAGACAGGGATATCCTGGACCGACGTGAAGAACCTAGAAGACCTGGATTTTGCGGATGATTTATGTTTGATGTCACACAAAATGGAAGACTTACAAGCGAAAACCGACAAACTGATCGAAGAAGCAGCAAAGACAGGATTGCAGGTGAACATAGACAAGACGGAGGTCATGAAAATAACCAACCAACAACAGCAACAGCAACATCCAGTGCCAATCACCATCAACGGGAGGGATTTGAAAGAGGTTACTTCTTTCACTTATCTAGGGAGCATTGTCTCAACCACAGGAGGAACGGACGAGGATGTGAAATCGAGAATCGGGAAGGCGAGAAACACATTCATCAACCTGAAACCAATCTGGAAATCTTCGTCACTCAGCATCAACAACAAAATTCGGATTTTCAATACAAACGTGAAGTCAATTTTGCTTTACGGATCAGAAACTTGGCGGGTCACCAAGAATATTTTCAACAGGTTGCAAACCTTTATCAACAACTGTCTTCGCTCCATACTGAAGATTAGATGGCCGGAAAGAATCACAAACAAGAAGCTATGGGAACAAACAAAACAGGAGCCAATCGTCCAACAAATATGCAGGAGAAAGTGGAGATGGATTGGACACTCGCTGAGGAGGCCGTTGAGTGACATCGCGCGCCAGGCCCTCGAGTGGAACCCGAAAGGGAAGCGGCGAGTGGGACGTCCAAGGGTGACATGGAGGAGATCGTGTGAGGAGGAGATGAAACAATATGGAATAACATGGACGCAAGTGAAAAGTACAGCACAAGACAGAAGCAAGTGGAGGCGTGCAGTTGAAGCCCTATGTTCCACTAGGAACCCAAGGGAACAATAATAATAATTATTATTATTATTAGTGGAAGAAATCTCTCCAACGTACAGAGTCAATTCGTCAAAGGCATAATCAAATAGAGCAGCACAGGAACAAACGATTAATTGGATAAAGTTAAAATACACGATGAAGAGAGTTTTCAACATGCTCTGAGGACTAATGCTATCTCCATATTAACTCCACCAACGCTACGAATTTCCACTCATATGCCGGCCATAATTCATGCAAGCGCCAACGTAACAACAGCTGCTTTTAGTCTAGTAGGTATACTAGTATGCTAAGATCTGTCTGTAAATTACTTCCGGTTAGCACAACACTTCGGAGTCACTGAAATATCCAATCCCGACTACCACGTAGGTGTGGCAGTTATTACACCTAATACAATTCATATTCTAGAACTCTAAAAGATAATACGCGTAAAGGTTATCTTCATAAACGTCCGTTTTTTATGTAAACTAGACGTCTATAATTATCATACTATGAAGACGTCAAAAGCCAACTACGAATCTAAAAATGCTGACCAACAAACCGGATTCGCGAAAATACACTGATTGGTGGGCTAAAAAGTTAACATAAAATTTTTGGACACCAATATGGGAAGATAAAAGGAACTTTGTTCAATGTGTTTTGTTAACGTCAAAAAAGTACCACAAGAATCCTGCTCCAAAAATATATAATTTAAATTGGTAACAGTTATAGATATTTTATATAGCAGAGTATCATATCCATTAAAAATCATAGTGCTTACATCATCGTCAGAAGGAGAAAAATCAGATGTATCTTGCTGAGCTTCATGCTCTTGTAGTTCAAATATAAGCCGGAGGGTAGCTTCAGCATCAGGATCGCCCTCAATGATAAAACCAGCAGGTCCATACACTGTTTCGTAAGCAGCATTGTGGCTTGACTTTCTACTAAGTGAAAAATCACTTGCTGCCACGGAGGATTCGTAATACTCATTATCATCTGAATCAAAACATGTTTTATCAAGTTCATCATTCCGCTTGTGTAACTTGGCATTGTATTCAAGAAATTTCGCAACGAGATTCAATGTTCGGTTGAGCAGAAACAAATCATCACTTTTCAGAAACTTATAGCTGCGAATATGACATCCAATTGCCTTTAAACAACTGTAAAATACAAAGTCATTACAAATGACCTACTGAAGTGAGCAACGGAGGGCTTCAAACAGTATTTTGCATGCATAAGAATGGGATAAACATAAGCAACCGGATATAAACTGCTTGATATGTCAAGTTACCAAAACTGACATCAGCATATCAAGGAAAAAGTACTAAAAAGACCAAAACAAATGAACATAATGTTACTGGAATTCGTTGAAAAAACATGGCAAAAATCAGACGCATAAATCACCTCTATGGTGTAATTTATATATATATATATATATATAAACAACAGGACAAAATAGTCATTGACCGAATTGTACAAATACTGGTGAAACTCCTGAGCATTTGGTGGTAAGAATAACTCTGACAGCCTTGGGTTGGCAGACTGCTGATGCTGTAATAGGTGGTGCTTGAAAGTGAAATGAAGACGTGGATGGCGGCTATACTAAAACTAGTGGTGCGTTAAGTAAAGAGGATAAACATAACAGAAAGGGAATCTCCGCTTACCAACCATGAAACAAGATCAATTTCAGGAACCATTTGGAAAACACGTTTAATCCAAATTAGTATGCATATTGATAGTAAGTCCAATTACCGTAGGGACGAATGTTGAAATTCCTTTCTATAGAACACTCCAAACCTCGCATGTCACCGTGAAATGAAGTGAGACTCAGAAACAGTGTGAACACTTGTTAAGTGGGATATGTAATGATATCTGGCTAAGAAAATGTGATGATAAGAATACTGTTATTGTCAGTTGTGGGCCTTGCAACCTCAGTTATTGAGATGACGGACGTAAATACTTCGTAATTCAAGGTGTGGTACTCCAACTTTAATGGTAACACCATTAGGTAGTATTCGAAATAAATTGCAAATATTATTACCCTACATATATCATACTTCACATCAGTTATACACATCAACTCATCTCAAAATACATATTCAGTGTCTCTAAGCTAGGTGTGACCTGTAAGACCCAGAGCATTCGTCTATGGAGTTCTATTATCACGTTTCGTGAATAAAATAGTACACCTCATATAGTACACTTCTACCTGAATACATATGTCAGCTAGAAATATTCGTGAACTAATGCACAAAAGTGTAACTCAATATGACAAAAGATACCCCCTTAATATTACATTGAAGCTTAGTGAGCTAGCTGTATGATTGCTGGTGAAAGTGTGACGGATGAGATCTCTGAATGTATGATGAAAGCCAGGGGAACATACGTTAACCTGGGGCACCTCTGGTATGGTTGCAACGCTTAACTGTCAAACTTCGGGTATACAATTATTCGGTAGGAGCAGTGTGCTCTACGCCAGTAAAACCTAGTCTCTCCGTGCTGAAGGTGAGCAGCTATTCTGAATATTCAACCATCGCTGCTTCCGTAGAACCACTTGCATCCAGTAGCATCGCCGTATAACTTTTTTTGGTGTCTGTTGGAGCGTTCAGACACAGTGGAGACCGTCTTGTTTTAAGCACTATCAACTTGAAATAGAGGCGTCGATGGCTCGGACATGTACTACGCAGGTTATTCTTGCGGTTCACTGTTTACTAGCCCCATGAGGAGGCGGTTGGCCAACTACGTGGTAGAGTGAGATGGAGGATAGTTGTGTTAGGTTAACATCTATCAGTGTATCACAACTCCTTGAGTAAGTTCCAAGAGATACTCCGAATCAGAACCTCAACAAGTTATCAGATATGGCCAAGAACCGTATTCACTGGTAGACATGCTGCGATCTCCTCTTTGGCTCTTAAGTTTTTGAAAGTAACCAGGAGTAATGAACGTTCCTTTAGGTGCACTTGATTGGTACACTAACTTGTTTTATTACATTGCTTTATTACTTTTGTACGGTGCATCTCATAACGCCCATACTATACGAAGTTTAAGCTTAAATGAATAAATAAAGCGGGTTTACACATTGCCACACTATCATTGGATGCTTCGGTTAGTGGAAAAATAATCAATAATACATTTCTCAATGAAACAAAAACGTAACTCACCATGACAAACGATATCCCCTAATATCATATTGAAGTTTAGTCAACCGCCGACATGGTGGCTTAAACACAATTCTTCTCCACAAACTCGGAGAACGGAACACAGAATACCACTTCCTGCACACACGAGCAGCTCGCGAACGTTCATTCCAATCCAAGTATATAAAGACGTGCTCCAAAATAGGACTCGGTATATTCATAGTCAATTAAGAGTAGCAAAGTTGTTCAGAAAGTATAGTGTGAATTATTCGACGATCTTAGATAGCCAGCCCTACGTTCTATGTGTACACAGTACAAAGTCCAATGCACATTGTTAGGGTGTTGGTTGCTGATCAACTATAAGTGATAATATTACCGTGTAGAGCCAGAAGAATAAAACTTCGGTAATGCATTTGAATGGAGTGCAAAGCAAAGTGAATGAATGATTGTAACGCACGAACACCTGCACCACACAAATTATGCAGAGAAATCTGTTGTCTTCGATGGAGAAATTAACTAGGTAGTGGCGTCTTCACAAGCGTATACCATCGAATGGCCAATTCAGCTTAGACGAACATGTCTTTATCTCTGAAAATTATCAAAATATGATACAGAAATACAAGGTAATCAGAATCAGAACTAACAATAAATATACTAAGTACAAGCTCACTGTAGGAGAACGAAAATTGACTGACGTGAAAATTTGGTAGTTTGTTACCGCGATGCTTTCTTGTGAGATTTTGAGTTCATAAGATGCGAAATTTAGTGAATGAATGATTTATATTGTGGGCCAAACTTCAAAGTTTGTATTCTACATATCATGTCATTTGTGTGGTTAGATGTAACAACTGAGTATGAATTCAGTCAGTGACTAGTAATATGAGGTGATCGAAATGCATGACAGTATGTGATTAGGGGCAGATTTCTTAGACTTCTACTGCAATGTTAAAACTTGTGATATTCCAATTAGCCTGTGATGAAATTGCTCTTCGCAATTGAGAATGACATTTTAATTGTGGCATTACGCACACCTGATATCTATGGTCGGCCTGCTAAATTTGGGCTACCGATATCACATGCTGAAAATTTCATACTTGTACCAAAATACTGTGTGGAATCAAGCTGCAATAAAATAAATAAATAAAAATCAATAGTTGAAACATGCTTAATGAATTCTCCCCAACGGCGATTCAGTGGGTGGCAAGGGTAAAGAACAGATATTATAGTCAAATGACATTTAACCACACAGATCCCTGAACAATAATCTTCGTTGCAAGTTTCAGCCTGATTTAGGGTTACGGTAGGATTAGGGTAGGGTTACGTGTAAGGCTATGGAGAAGATTGCAACTAAGATTGGGGCTGGAGTGGAACGACAGGTAAAATCCCACCACTTATAGACCAGTAGCTCTACTCCCAGTGGTATCGAAAGTACTGGAAAGTATTATTGATGATCACATCAGGGAATATCTGGATATGTCTAAAATACTCCATGAAGCCCAACACAGTTTCAGGAAAGGGAGATCCTGCGTCACTAACTTATTATCAGCTTGGGATGACTGGACATCATTCTGGGATATGAATGTTCTAGTCCATGTGATCTTTCTAGACTTTGAGAAGGCATTTGACACTGTTCACCATGACCTCCTACACAAAATAAGCCAGGTAGGTTTAGGTAAGCCACCTTTGTCATGGTTAAAGGACTACCTAACTGAAAGGCAATTTTGCACTAAGGTCAGTCGAGCCCGATCATCTTGGCACAGCTCGTCATCAGGAGTGTCGCAGTGTTCTATCCTAGGACCACTGATATTTTTGATTTTCATCAATGATCTACCGTGCCGTCTAAGTTACCCGGCTCTTCTATACGCTTACGACTTGAAGATATGGAGGGCGATAAAGTGCCAGGAGGACTCAGATTGGCTACAGGAAGGTCTATACCTTCTGGAAGACTGGGCGGTGGCCAGTTGCATGACTTTCAACCTGAAAAGTGCAAGGTAGTGGAGTTACGCACCTGTAGACTGCAGGATGCAAGTTACACCCTGTGCGATGAAAGCTTGTCCTGCACAACGTCGGAACGCGACTTAGGTCTAGTTCTAACGGAGAAAATGGACACAAGCGTGAATTACACGGGGGATGTAGCGAGGGCATATGCGGTCATACACTTTGCACATAGGCAATTAGGTGCACTCACTCCTGAGCTCTTTCTAAGGTTGTATAAAACATACGTCAGACCGCATCTTGAAGTGCATAATATCATTGCACCCCCACTGCTTAAAAGATACGCCAACCTCTTGGAAAGAGCCCAACGACGGGCAACAAAAGGGGTGGTTGGTCTCCGAAATAAACCATATGATGAAAGGCTGAAGAAATTAGGCCTATTCACAATTAGTTACCGTCGTCTTAGGGGGGATTTAATTACTGCCTACAAAATAACAAATGATCAGAATCACCCAAACAAAGGTGTTCTGCCATTGAGTAGGTATAGGCACCCTCGTGAAAATCCTAGAAGGATAGCTCATCAGAGGGCAAGGACCCGGGTGCGCTCCCACTTCTTTTCCCTGCGGGTTTGCCGTCCCTGGAATTCCTTACCGGCAGATGTAGCTATGGCACCATCTGTGGACGCCTTTAAGCGAAGGCTGGACAACCATGCAGCGACACAAGGACTTCATCCAAATGGCCTATCCCCTTAAAATGGCATACACCATTCAAAGGTAGACAATTAAACTGGTCGTTTTACTTCTTTACATTCTCCTCAGTTTTACTCTCCTGACAGCTTTAACTACACCTATTATTATTATTATCATTATCATTATTACTGGTATATATATATATACCGGTTGACTGACTGTTGTTACGTTTTCTTATTCTTTTTCTGTCTGTTAGTCTGAATACCTTCACTAATTATATCTATTATTATTATCTCTTTTCTATTGACGACGATACCGAAGGACCAACTGGTGAAAGGATCAACTCCATTCACAGTAGTAACAGTCTTAACACACCTTATACTACAAACCACATATAATTAATCCCTGCACTACTCCTTTTGGAGTCAACCAAAGCTACGGCAGTCGAGTGGCGGGACGAGCTACGCAGACGTTTACCGAAGATCAGGAACCTCTACCTCACAATCAAGAGGCGAGCACAAAGAAATCAAATTGGTTTATACTAGCTCGTAAAAACGATATTGGATATTGGAATATGCACAGCATTCATTCGAAACTCTGAGTAGTGTGATTATCATCACCAGGTTATATCCATCATAAGGTAAATAATTCATCAAAATTAGCGGACTCTAACTGGTACTCAGAGATTTTGGTATTTCTAATATAGTCACTCCTACGGAAAACTGAGACCTCGTTTTGCTGTATATTAGAGACAAATACCCTATATGATTCATTTGTATTATACACATATTCAATATACATACTTCTACATCGCATATGCCAATTTTTGCCTTGAAGCATATGACCGGCTGGTCCAAGGTGACTGTGGTACCTATTCTTTGAAAATTATTAGTTTGCTGTTTTTTGATTAAGGTATTTACTCTTGGAAAAAGTGCATTACCAAGTTTAATAGCAACACAATTCTTGAGCTTTAAGTGTGTAGAACTAAGGTCCCCCTGCTGTATGATGAATCTTAAACGATGAAGCATGTTTAATTAACCCTGCTCACTTAAGTGACAGCTAGTTAGACATACAAGGGTAATAGTCGATTACACCAGAAAAGATGAAAAAGGTGGAAATATCTTAGCTGAATGCGATATAAATCCAGCTTCTAGTTTGAACCACTATTAACTGGTATTCGACAACGAGGAAATGATCAGTTCCTATAATAACTATATCAGGACAGCGTTTCACAACTACACCGTTCATAACCCCATTATTATAAAACTTCGGCAGACTCTTTATCTGTCAACAAGAGTCACCAATAATTTCATGTTTGAAATCATACAGAAGCTCACTGAAGTCTGGGAGTTACAGATGACAAAGTTGTGACATACTGTTTCTACGCAACGACGACTTGGTTTCGATTTAGTACAAATCATACATATTAAATGTAAATTTGTCTTTTATTTTACGATGAATACCTGTAAAAACTATCCTAATCCCTAAAAACGAAATATTATTACTTTCAGGTAATATCCTGGTAACGCAAACTTTGAAAAAACCGCACCTTTCATTGCAATATCCAACATCCTTTCCATGAGACATTGCAAATTGAATTGTTTATTTAGGTCCATTTCTTGTTTTTAAAGCATAGGTTATCGGTCATCGGTACATTTTCGTGTAAATTACCCCGCTTCTGGACTATCAAAGGCTTGCTATACTCCGAGTGGTGCATAGATTGCTTATGTGTGGTTTCAGTGTGCTACGATCGTGATGCTTCTATGGATGTAGTTAATCCACTCATCCGCTGTTTCGTTTTGCCGCACCATTATTTAGCTTCCGCTTGAAGTGTTCCACTGAGGCATGATGTATACGGCTCCTGGTAGAGAGCTTCAGGACTGACAGACTTCAAGCGAAATGAAGCGGGTCCACTGTGTCTGGTTCACGATCCGTCGTGGGTGGCCACGACAAAGTCCATTGTGGATTAACGTTCAAATTTCTTTGTTTTCGATGGTTCAAGTCATTTGTAATCTACGTGTAATAAAGTCAATCTCCGCAATTTGGCATCCCACGCTTCAATGCGAAGATTCAGAAGCTCTTACCGAAAGATTGGCATCCGTTTTAATAAAAGGCATTATGCACTTCAAGGATCAGTCATACATGCATTTTGCACAGTCTTGGAAAAACCTCGGGAGGGAGGACATCTCTCAATGCGTGACGTTTATATTAGTATATGCACTCACCACATCACCCTGCCAATTCCATCTTGTATCCAGTTTTCCCGTTAGAAGTCATGCTTTTTCATTACACCGGAGAATTAATCGTCACATGGAGAGTAACTTACCCTCCGCAACATTTGAGAACCTATTCGCATCATCTGACACTTCTTAGGGTTATGACGCATCTCCCAGAATTCTCCGATTTGATCATCTGAACATTTTATCGATCTCAAATTGTGTGCCTCATTGGCGCAGAGCCAATCCAGTCAGTTCTGATAGCATGACAGATCACTGATAAGTAGTAAGCATAGGTGGCTCTAGGAAGGGACCCCATGTAGCTCCAGATACGGAGCTCTGCCAGGATGGTCGTTTACTAGTGACTTCAGTACGGAATTCTCTTCCATTTAGCTGGTTCCACGAACTTGGGAGAAGCCGGCCACTAATAGTCTTCTGAGAAATTTTGTGAGCGAGATCATGTTGAGTGGCATGAAATGTCTCTTCAGAATCGGGGAGGTCATATAAACTGTAAAGTTCATATCCCACCATGATTTTCAGTGTTTCTATGTTGGTGAGAGATGCGTCACACATTATCTCCCTCACTTGAAACTGTGTTGTGCTTCATGGAATGCTATTCCATAGAGAGTGTAGTCTGATATTGTCCCCAATCAAGTTCTCAGATTCGTTCCTCTATTCTGAAGATATTATTACTGGTTTATATCTCGTTGCTTCTTGCAGAACCCCCCTTGAAAGTAAAGGAAGCATAACTACTTTTCACTCCCCTGGCAAATTCGCTGATTCGACGGAGTGTTATAGTGTGTTACATTAGCACCCACAGAGAGCTTTTGAATGCTGTTTTAGAACAGAAGGTCGAATATCATTGCAGTCTGGGGACTTTCTACGGGCACGATCTTGCAGTTTCTCGAGCAACATCAAACAGTTAGCTCTGAAAATCCAATTAATCTTTCTCCTGATAAATTAACATTGAGAATGTTACGGCTTGCAGCGGTAATAATTGCATGCACTATGTGCTAATGACTGATTGAGATTAGTTGCATACTACACACATCAACCAGTATTGCTTGGTAAAGGGATCGAAGTGATCTTAACACTTGACGGCTATTTTGTCAGCTTGGAGATGCTCTCATTAGCTCTGTGCTAACTTGGACTCAGCTCAGAGGGCTAAGTCAGTCCGAACTATCCTATTTCTCCTTCACTGTCTTATGATATCACGCCACTTATAAATGATGATCTGAATAATTTTGGTTTCTGAAGGAAACTGTAGAAATTTCACTTCCTCAAACTGCATACATTGGAAATTTTATTATAATAATACAACGGAGGTCATGAGACTTAGGTACGGATTTTTATTCAGGAGAAATATTGAGGAGTTTTGGAAGTTAGATAAATGTAATAATTCCAGAGTACCTTCCTGAAATCGCTTCGGATGTTAGTGATTTTTAATACAGCTTTCCGAGAAGCTTAATTCTGCATTCACTTCAGCAAGTGTGAGTTATTCAAAAACCCATGGAGTTCCATCTCTTGTGAGTTATCCGTGCACTTTTTAAGATGATAGAATATATCCGTCAAGTTACTGCGATAAAAGGAGCAAAAGGATCAGTAAATATGTCTTTTCGCTACCACGTGGGTGTGTCAGGCTGAAGAGTCAGGAAAAATGACCGGTTTGGCGAGGCGAACGGCCACACAATGATCATGAATATTAACCAGAAAGTATCAACCGGAAACGAGTTCGAAGACGCGCAAGCAGCGTAATTAACTAGTTTCTCAGAAGGTTTACGTCGCCTTCAGAAAGCCGTTGTTTTTATTCTACAAACTTCCTTGTCGTTATCACTTAAAGTACCTGACCCCTCCCTGATTATTTCAAGAAGGCGTGCGTCGTGGTTCCACTCTTGAGATTTTAGATGTCGAAACCGAAAAGTGGGATATCTACAGCTCCTCTGATGCCTCTAAACTTGACCTTGAGGTTTCCTTATGATAAACAGTGGTCTGAGGCCGCATCCTCCAATGCATTACGTGCTTAATAGTCTGGGTCTTCAGCATCTTGAGTTTGCCGAGACGGCTTCTACTGTCTACATATAGGTTGAGGAGTATCCACTTTTTGTTTTACCAAATTACCGTGAAACACAGATAATAGGGTGTGACTCTTGCTGTTATAAGTAGGCCGTGTCAAGTGACAAAGAATCCGAAGCAAGTGAGAACTTATGTCTCAACGATGAAGGTCTGGGAAAAGCCTCATTATTTGAAAGCTTCAAAGTTTCACATAAGGTGTTTTGTTGCCAGACTCACTCCTGGCTATATTTAGTGGCAAAACGTTTAGATTACAATTAAATTGATTAGTAATTAACATGAAGTAGAGCTTTCATGAGGCAATCAACAATGAGACATTGACTAGAAGTGTTCGTTTCTGTAGAGCGAGATGATTCATGTGGTTTGAGAACTCTGGAACCTACACTTTTTCTCAATCAGTACATGGATTCTAAACGAAAATAAATAATAAATGAACTTGAGTACTTTTATCAGAGGAACCTTCAAACATTAATAAGGTTGGATAATCGTGCAATTCCTTATTACTATCATGGAATTTAACATAATCTGAGTAAAATTCCAAACTCATCCAGAGAAGTTGACAACATGGTATCTTTCAATTTGCTTAGAAAGGTCTATTCACATGCCCAATCAACGGAATACAAGCAGAATTTTAACCAACAACGTTTCAAATTCCTGTCTATTATAAAGGCATGACGATAAGAAAACAACTGACACAGATCGCTAAAGAAGGTCTGGAAAAAGCTGAGGCAGTGGCAAACTACTTCTATGGATATCTGGAGTAAGAAAGCCTGTTGAAGTTTAGGTAGAGCACGACGGATACTAACGCAACTTCCTGCACCGACGATTCTCACATTATTCTTTTCAACGTACACCTAAGGCAAACTGAATCACCATATTGATTGTTCAAAATAAGAAATATATTTCCGGGTCAAAATCTTAATGCCAAGATGATTGCTTACTATTTGGGTATTATGCACGAACGGACGAAAGTAACACACCCGCGAGGAAAGTAGCGTCATTGCTTGACGGTAAGCATTCACGTCAACAATTCGACTAAAGCAGTGTGGGTCAGTAACCAGTGTTAAGTAATGATTACTGTAGGCTAATAATATTGGGGAATTATCTACACCTTCGGGTCATTTACCCAGAACTTTTCGTCAGTCACGGAATCAGCACTCGCCACATCGCGAGAGAACGAGATAAGTTGTGGTGATATCTCCCAAAACATCAGTAAGTAAAACGAAACTCATGGAAGTCAGGCAGACGTGATCATCTTAAATCAAGGATACTCAAGTACCTGGGATATATGCCCCTTTGATTATTATCTGCCGGCTGTTCTACCTACATGGAAGGATTTACGTTCTAGCCAGCAAACCGTCGGCATTTTAGTTTCACCAGCGCCATCGTGAAGATACTAGAAAGTTTAATTGCAGTGTGCTAAAAAAATGACTTTCTATGCAGTACTTAGCACGGTTGTGTGAGGAATCTGGTGTGACTAACAGGCCTCCTCAAAGCATAGAGGACTCAGCCAGTTCTAGTTAAAGCCTGAAATTATCCTCGTGGATATCAGCACAGCTTTCGTAAAAATAATTCATACAAGAGTGCCGAAGAATAATCAAAGTTTGGGAATAACTGGTGGTCCGCTCAACTGCCTCAAGGAGTTATATTCGAGCACAGTGCCCAAATTTTATACTTATATCAATAAGGAGACAGGGAGCTAGGTTCGACCTAGAGAAAGGTACATATTGGTGAGCAACTGGGCACGTACTCGGTTCTCTCTTATTTTCTGTGCATATCAAAGGACTACCAGACCCACCTAGATACTTATGGTCCTGTATGCATATGACCCAAAAATTAGGAGACAGATCAAGAAAATGGCTTCCGTCACAAACATGTCTTAACAATATCTGAAACTGATTCAGAGAATGGATGATCCCCATCAACAAAGAAAAGGTGCAACCGTACCAATCGAGCATGCAAATTTTGGACTAGAAAACCTGTAGTATGACTCACTGAGACATGAAGATATGAAAGTGCATCAGTTGACAGTCATACAGCAACACAAGCACTGCGTGCAAATGACCTATCTCCTTAAAATCCCATGCACCATTCGGGGGTAGACAACTAAGTTTTTCATTTTTCTTCTTTACATTCTCTCCGTCTTACTCTCCTGACAACTCTAACTACGCTTATTATTATCTATATATATCAAATTCAAATTTAATCAACTGACTGTTGTTACGTTTTCTTTATGTTTTTCTGTCTGTTAGGCTGAATAACTTCCCTAATTATGTCTATTATTATTATAATCTGTTATGTTTTGACGATGATACTGGAGGACTAACTGGTGAAAGGATCAACTCCATTCACAGTAGTAACAGTCTTAACACACCTTATACTACAAACCACATATAATTAATCGCTGCACTACTCCTTTTGGAGTCAACCAAAGCTACGGCAGTCGAGTGGCAAGACGAGCTACGCAGACGTTTACCGAAGATCAGGAACCTCTACCTCACAATCAAGAGGCGAGCACAAAGAAATCAAATTGATTTACAGCTCGTAAAAATGATATTGGAGTTGATGTTGGCAAATACGCAAGAATTCAGTCATTAGGCGGCTCTTTCGGAGCTAATGCTTACATTTATTCATGGTAAGTCTGAAGTTGGGTTGCTTTGTGATTATGATGGCCAGTATAACATTCTTGCGTTCTGATTAGGGAGTTTTACCTTGTATAGTTTATTATATTGAATTAAATCTTAATGATCGGTCAGTATGAGTGTATTTTACGTAAGGTTTTATCGCTTTATTCTGCCCAAAATGATTTAGAAAATTTGTTCTTACCCATCTTTGGTTTCTAAGTGGTCTTGATTGCATAATCCAGTTTACACTGTTGTGATTTAGTATGTTTTACAGTAGTTTTGAGTTGCACCAAAGGTTTGCGAGTGTATCGATACAGTCGCGAACCTTTGGTCATGATACATACTAACAGGTCAGCGTTGAAATTCCTCAGAATGCAACATTTCAATTCGTCACACTTCGTAAATTCAGCAGGTATGCTGAATAATCTATCTAAATTTCTTTCGAACTCATGTCTTGCAATCATCGTTTTATTTATCTGGATTAGCTATGTATTATTGAGGATTATAGTTTCGTTGGTGTGTTCGGCATCTTAGTGTCTACTTATGCTTCGTCCCGTAAATAAGCTGCGCTTCCTTTATGACGATACAGCGTCGAAGTGTCTCGTTAAAATGCATCAATTCAACTACCCACTCTTCGAAGTAGGACATCAAAGGTAACAAAGGTGAAGATAATGCGATCGATAAAGTTGTGTCAGTTCAAACATAGTTTAAAGAGATAGTGTGAGAATTCACATGTCTTCATTTGTGGTCTTCCACGCCTTGGTAGGTTTCATTTACTTCATCGCACGCTAATATTTCTCATGAAGTCCCTTTTTCTGTGTACCATTTCGAAATGTAGCAACATGTACTAGTGCTCTTCTCTAGTGAATTCCACGATCTTAAGCTCTAGCGATTGACTTAATAAGTGGTTTGCATTTATATTTTAGTTTATTTATTGTGGGTTAAAAGCCTAAAGAGTAGTCCCTTGTAATTTCAAGCAAGTGTTTGGGAGTTGCCGAATTATTAGGTGACAATACTGACTTATCTCATTGCCTTGTGTATATCTCGGCAATTATTTTACATTGACTCACTACGAATAACGCAGAATTCAAGACATTCAAGAGTGAGGTTTAGTTAAATTGATACCATGTATCTACCCATTGTAACATATAGGATGAAAAAGTGCGTGTTTTCTAATTTATGACAAGACAATAGTCATCTTTAGAGATTTTGTAATCTTCAAGTCAGTTGTGTGGTCGGAGAAACCGACAGTGGGGTTAATCTTTTAGACAGCAACTTCAGCTAAATTAGCTGCTAAAAGCAATAAGTACCACTACAACAAAATTGCTTTTCAAGAATACAAAAATGATTTCAGTAACGGGTTGGAAGACCAATTGTAGTTTCACGTAGTTGATAATATCACTTAGATGTAAGCTTTAAATAAAATGAATTCTTCGGTTAACTGGAATTCACTACTTCCCCTATGCACTGGTTTTAGCAGCTAGTTGCCAAGATTGAATTTTTCACATATCTGGATATAATCCGCAGTTGTTTTGGAGGGTTAGTAGTACTGTCAGATCACCTAGGCTAAAGTTAGTGAATTGGAATTCGATGTCGATGACTTACACCTACACTTATTTTGAATGGAGATTATTCTAGTAAGGTGAACTTGTGCATGGTAGCTTTACATATAGATCACCTTTTTATATTTAAAATAAGTATTAACGTTACAATATGATGTAGTGCGGCAGTGTCGTATGACTTATTTCGCAAATGTTTTTTAATTACGTACACTGTTGTGACTAATCTTAGACTTCCGCCTTCATCCGTAGCAGTAAAGCAGTGCATAACATGCTTAGGCAAGTACTTCTGATGGGAATAAATTGGTGATTTCTAACCTAGTCTGAGTACAAGTTCAGTAGGCAAACGTTCTTATTGGTGGGACTGACTTGCTCGAAAGAGATTATTCATATATCTGGCTCTAAGTCGCACCCTAAGAGCTAATTTTACTACTCAGTCGCTCAGTATTTAGTCCGATGCTGAACCTACTGACTGAAACTTGAAACTTTATAATCTATTTTATACGTTTTGACTTTAGTTTTTATACACTGATTTGCTCTACAACCTCATGCATTTATTGTTTCTTCAATAAATAAATTGTGCACCTTTCCATAAAGGCCATAGTCAACAGCAAGAAGACATATGCCATCATCCGTGCAATATACAATCATAGTCACTCTCCGGAGGATTTTGAACGGGAATTAGACTTTGTATTAAGTCGGAAAGTATGTATGGTTATTATCGAACCAGAATCTCTGGGTGAAGTTACATGGCGTTGGATTCGTACGGGAAACTGGCTACACAAAACAGCTGTTATATCAGGTAGTATATAACTTCGGTTTTTTGCTTTCATCTTTTATGTTTACTCGTACGGGTTATTAACATTTGGTGTCCTTGCTGTTGTTTGATTACTAATGCATTCCTTCAGTTATTTGGTACATATTTTTTCATTACCTTAACTGTTACTTGTATATATTAATCGTTTTATTGGACAATCATTAATATCCATTTCCGCTAAACCAAGCAGTCAAAGTAATCAATTTGCATTCTGTTTACGAGAACATTTTGTCAGTGAACGTGTAATATGTTCATTTTTACTGGAGCATCCTCTAACATATTTTTACTTGAGATTTCCGATTGAATTTGTAATGTCCTACAAATATGTGCCATCTAACCCTAGAATGATTGTGGGAACACTCGATACGTAGTAGGAGGTCCACATAAACTTAAAGCCCGGCTAAGTGAAGAAAATTGTTTTCAATAAATTATTTTTAGGTTTTGACTGTGTTAAAATATTTATCATTATAATAGCCAGTTATGAAGCCGATACATTTTTATGTAGGATAAAAGTTATAAGGGGAAGCGAAATAAATAGTATTTGTGTAACAAAAATGGTTACTTAAAAGCCGATTACCACAAAACAGATTTCCAGCAAATCGTCGAAATAAATCAAAAGGAGACACAGATACACAGTGTAAAAACTACATACAGACAGGTGACTTAATTGTTTCTTCTATTGAAATCAAACAATTTGAATCAGTTTTAGTAGACTGCTACTATCAGTATAGGCAGAATAATAAGACTACGTCTCAATATACTAACCAAAGAGCCTTGGGAGGCTGTAAAATAAAAATAAATGTAAACAAATTCATTACTACACCGGACAAGGGGCCTAGAGTCGTAATTATGAACAGGCATGATTACATAGAAGAAACGAATTCAATACTGGTGGATGAGAACAAGTTACAGAAGCCGAAACTATGGGAAACCAAACTGGTAAAGTGAAGAAAAACAGCACTAACTCACTAAAGAAACTAAGCGAAGGATATTTCTTACTGACAACATATGCAAACCTAAAATCCGCAGACACTACTATTTTACGTATGAACGATTTACCAAAAGTGCACATTAGGATTGCCACTCCTTTCCATCCTCCATATGTCACAATCGCCTTACTATATGACTGCTAAGTATTTGGTACAGTTACTTCAACCTCTGCTTGATTAACTAGTGAACTACAGTGTTCAGAAATACTTTTGGCTTTGTCATGAAAATAAAAAACCTAATCAAAACCGAGAAATATATGGCGTCGCTTGATGTCACATATCAACTCACTAACGTCTTTCTGGATGAGACTGTTGGTTATACCCACAAACAGATGATCGGTCGACATTCCTATTGCTTATCTGAAGGAACTACTGCTTCAGTGTACAATAAATGTTAAGTTCATATGTAGTAATGAAATGTACAGACAAGCTAATGAAGTAGCTATGGAATCTGCAGTAAGTCGCTGTACTTGGGGACAGTTTGCTCCGAAGACTATTTAGAGAGAAAAAAAGCTTCACGTCATCCAGATTATTTTAAGCGACAATAGATGTCTGATAAGGTGTATGAAAGTCAATTATAGTTTATAACAGTCACAAAAATGAACTAGCTAGGGTAGAGAAGTATCCGTTATATTCGCATCTGCAGTTCAAGGAAAGTACCTTCATGGAGATTCTATTCCAACGTGTAACCTAAACAATAAAAAGGACTTCCTAATTTGGAAATCTGTTCCTATACTTCAGTAGCCGTCTAATGTTATCCCAAAACTGAGAGGTGTTTAACTTAATCTTGGTTCTTTATCATGCATAAGCGGTTTTAGCTGTTCATGTGGTCCTAGTTAAATCATTTGGTAGGTTTGTCTACGAATTCAAAAATATTTACAAGCATCATTTAGGAAGGGTGTAATCAGACCCATAAAAGGTTCAATTCTATCATACTCGATAGACAGGACATCTCATTGACTCTAACATAACCATTAGGGTTATATATCACATTCCCAAGTTAATATCACACATAGTTCACTTACATCTTGGGTATTCAGCTAAAGCTATTCCAGTTATCTCGGTTAAGTTAACCACTTTTAGACGTTATTTCCATCGCCAACCTTGTATTAGAAGTTTTCCTTCGCTCCAAAGGAATATCTCCCTCTTTTTATTTGTTCAAATAGTTTTCGTCACAATGTCCTATAATTTATACAATTCATTGTAGCGTTCTTCAAACTAGAAAACTTTTGTATATTTATTCAAATCACCATGTTTTTCATACAAATGTGATTTGTTGTGACACCTCAAAAGTTAATGTTATCCTACGTGAAAATGTGTTGTCTGTATAACTGGCTATTATTGTAATTATAAGAAATATTTTATACAGTTAGAACCTGAAAATAATTTATTGAAAAGAATATTCTTCGTCCAGATCAAATTTTAATTCATGGTATAGGAATATGTCAGACTTTTAAATCGTCTAAATAGGTTTATTAATGGGAATTTAATAAGAAAAGTCTTTTCTTAACGTAAAGAAGAAATCACGCCTCCAATAATTTATTTCTTAATTAACAATTTCTGTGTACATCTGATGATTGTCTCAATAGATTACAGTGCAATCCAACCTCGATCTTTGTTATCGTGATTCGTCTTCTTTTGACCCCTTAAATATCACTGCATTTCACTTAGTCGTTTAGGAAATCTGCATATAACCAGATTGTTGAAAGTGTACTATGCGAACATGTCACGCATATGTGGTGGATTATTTTTCTTGTTATCCAGTCAAGATTGGATTTGAAATCCTATACCTTGTTATTTTGTTTTAGACAACACAATAAGAAGATGTAGTTTATCTGAAACGTGTAATGTATTGGCGCAACACATTTCGGACATTCTGATCACACACATACTTGTCATACACAGTTTTTACAGAAGGCAAGAAGGCATGAATAATTACAATACAGGTCAGATTGTGTACAGGTCTAGGTCACAAATAATGGGTAGGGAGATGCAAAGGTGTGGGTAAAAAAGAGAAAAAGAGAAAAAACAAAGCAAAGAAGGGGTTGAAAATATTATGTAGTAAGTTGGTCCTTGGTTCTAAATTGGGTTACCAAGGCAGGTTTAAGGTAATAACAAATAACTTTTGGACACATAAGACAGGTTTAAGTCTTTTTATGGCTAAGGCTTCAATGAATTTTAGTATGTGGCCCAAGCTTGTTTTATACATGGGCTTAAAGGCACGGTTGAAATCAACCTTATGACCCGTCTGTTTAATGCTCTTCGCTATAGATGATGTTGGAGATCTATTTCCAGGGTCAGTTGTGTCTAGAGATTTTATTTGTTGTTGCAGCCACTTTGGAATGTGTTCTGTAGCCTTCACCTGCAGAGACCGATGGGTCCTCCCTATATACGTGTTTCCACACATACATGTAAATTGATAAACACAGTGGGATGTGACACTATCGTTCGGATGCTGCGTGGGTTTACAGGACAGCATAGTTCTCGTTTTCTCTATGAAGATAAGTTTAGCTGAATAATTAGTTCTATTAATTGCGGCTTTGTGGTTTTGTCTAGTGACCAGACCTTGCTGATCACCTCTGAACGGCAAGGATATGTAAACATCCTTTTTGGGAGCTGATTGGATTGGTAGAGGTCTATGGTTAACACTTGCGTAACGCCTTACAAATCTCAGTGGGTAATTGTTATCTAACAATATTTCAGTGAGGTGTTGTTTTTCTTCTTCAGTTATATTGGCAGTACATAGACGGTGAATGCGCTTGAACAAACGCTTAACCAACGCCTTTTAATACTGTAGTGGACAAAAACTATGATAATTTAGGTACTGTCCCGTCCATATGGACTTTCTGTAGACAGAACGTTTTACTGACTCATCTCGGTGGGTTATGAGTACATCTAAAAATGGCAGGCAACCATTATTCTCTTTAACGTATGTTAGCGATATACTGTTTTGTACTCTGTTGATCTGGTTCAGGATTTCCATATATATATACTGACGAAGAGTCCCAAACTAGGACGAAACAGCTATCCAGTACTCCCAGGTTTTCCAGTGGTTCTCTAACTGATGTCAGCTCATGATGAAATCCTCCATGCAATTAAACAAAATCCCTACCAAACCAATACTTGAAAATATATATATATATATATTTCTTAACCTGTACACAATCTGACCTGTATTGTTATTATTCATGCCTTCTTGCCTTCTGTAAAAACTGTGTATGACAAGTATGTGTGTGATCAGAATGTCCGAAATGTGTTGCACCAATACATTACACGTTTTGGATAAACTACATCTTATTGTGTTATCGAAATTCATAAAGGGAACTAATTGCTTTAAATTTCGTTTTAGACTAGAAGGTCTACTCTCTCCTTTGGTAACTGTCACTAGCTGAGTTTTAGGATTAGGGAAGGTCTAGGAAAATATTGCAACAAATAATAAGTTCTCATCTATGGTCTATTTATAAATACTATTTCTTTGTATATTCAGCCTATATTAAACTGTCGACTAAATTACTCTGTACATAGTGAAAAGTTTTTTAAGACTAGTTGACTGTATCGTCTTCTATCTTCCTTGATTTCCTTTTTTCTGGTTGTAAACTTTGGAGATGTTCCTAGTATGAGTTTTACTTGCTTGTTTTCACTTGTATTGCTGTTCGGATATGAGGTACAAGAATTTAGATCGGTATACAGTAATGCCAGATCTTACGTTGTTGACTTTCTTGATGATTCACTACACTTTCGACTATAGTTATTGGTTTCCATCCGTTTATTCCTTCACTTTATACTTTTTGTTATCTTTCTATAAATACACATTTTGTTTGCAGTTTTTAGTTCAGAGGATTTTGATTTTTTTTAATTGTAGCTTGATTCCACACTGTATTTTCAGAACAGGTATGGAATTTTCAGCATGTGATATCGGTAGCCTAAATTTTGCAGGCCGACCAACTGATATCAGGTGTGCGTCGGCAGGGGATCGAACCCCAGACCATGTGCATGGTCGACGAGAGTCCTAACCGCTGTGCCACCGACACACATCAGGCGTTATAGCTACCTAATACGATTGTTAACTACAGACCTCTGGTAGAAATATTATGACTAGTCATGTGTGAAATTTCAACTTCTGACATGGTTAATCTTCTGATTCTTTTTTAAATTCGACTGAAACGTCTTACTTAAAGCGGGAATTAATATAATTTTCAAATAATTCTGATAAAAATAAATAACAGAATTACTGAGATGTCTTTTCGTCCCACCATCCTTCTACTAATTCTTTTTATTGGCTCTATTCAATTTTTATTTTCAACGAAACGAAGACGCAAGCTTTTTGTAGTCCTATTTTTCAACCAGTGTACCATAGCAAACAAACTGCAATATGTAGTCAAGTACTGAAATAACTAGGTATTACTGTTAGCTTACAGATTTAGTTGATTTTGACATTTTATTTCCTCAGCTACCTGCCAATTACTATACGTCACTCTTATTGTTTGAGGGTCAAAGTAGGCGAGATAGGACGCGAATCCCAAACCCATTAGGGAAAAATTGAGTGCTTAAACGTGTAGTGAGCTACATCTTCACTCAAATGTTGCTCGTGAGGAATAATAACCACTTACAACGCATTCACATTGTACATGCAAAGTACCGAATGCGATTTAGGGAGCAGATTAGTAAACAAGACTACTACTGTCTGAAACAAAAAATCACCCCCGGTGAACCAAGGAGTACTGGTCAGCTACTTAGTCGTGGTATGGCAGTCTTTAGCAGTACGCGCTTGGAACTCGGATATGAAACCCAGGTTACGCGAGGAACCCGTCAACTATTAAGCCACCGTGTTGGTGGCTCAATGATACAGTACTCGTTAGCCCCACTGGTTTCTTCTGGTCAACGTACTCATAAATATTGTCTGGCTGGTAGTAGATCCAGAATAAGGATAGGTTGGGCGTGGATGTAGCAACACCAGCTCTACTGAAACTTCAAAGCTTGAGGCCTATTTCCACTTGAAACGCAGGTATTTGAAAAGAAAACTGATAGCTTAGCGTTAAGACGGTAAGACGTCATCGGCAGCTAATAATAGAGAATGTAGGGTATTTTCCAGTAGAGCACCACATGTTTCAGTCTACATAATGGTGCCGATGAATGATATCCATGAGTCACTAGTTCTTTACTAATTGACATGATATTGAAATTTTGGCTTAGTACACATGTTCTTACAAAACCTTGTTTACAATGTCAAAAAATATTGGAAATGGTAGTCATCTGTTGAAGAGCGAGCAGTATTTGTTACTCGCTTTTACGACTTTGGGTCATATTTATTTCCACTCCTATGTTTACGCTCCACTTGTTTTCTACTTAATGCCTAGATATGAAATGTGGTAACTTTGACTAGTATTCAGTATTCCTGAGTCTTATATTGACCATATCTGTACAAAGAGCAAAAACTTTTTTCAGTAGTTTAGTCTGGATGAGTATGGGGATGAATCCAATAGTGATCTCTAGCAATTGAAAGCTAACTTTTTTCATCTTCTTTTTTCTCTTAGGACTTGCTGCTCTAACTACAGCAGGAATAGGTCTGATGTGGAATTCCGTCTTCTGCAAAATATACTTTCCATTAGACTTGGGTATTCGATGGTTTCCTAACGTTCGAACAGATGGTGCTCTGATCACAATTACACCTAGTTTTATTCGATTTACTACAACTACATTGAGCGCTATCAGTGCGTCTGCCGCAGGATTATATGCTTTATTCTGGCAGTGGGATCCATGCTGTAAATATCAAGTGGCGTCGTCAGTTGCATCTCTTCCAGTTGGAGCGACTTCCTTTGTGACACGTAGTAGTCATGCCATGATGAATTCACATCCGGATGATAATTCACCCGGAAGTGGGGTGAGCAATGGTGACAGTCCTAATGGTTCATCAGAAAGGAGTCAAAGCAGTAATGGAAAGCGTACTCGTGCAGTTATAGCCGAAAATCATTCTAATTCAAACAGTCCTCCTCTGCGCCCTGTAGTCTTGGTTCATAGAGATGATGGCAGAAGAAAAGTACTTCATAATGCTGTTTCCCTTACTTCTACATTAGTTGCTTGCTATATTCTCTTTAGATGGTCTCGGAATTCTGATATTATCAGTGATTCTTAGTTTTGTCTCAACACTATTTTTATCCCTCTGTGTGCTTGATTTACGAGTCAAATCAATATTCTCCCATTCATATTCATTCTTCTGATCATTGAAAATATGACTTGTGTGGAATGAACTTCTTGATCTTTCTAGTTTATTTTTTCTGTAGTCTTTTGATATAAATGCTTAAGCACTTTCTTGAGCTTCATGATTTCTTCAATAGTTGTAGGCTACTATAAAATATTTCAAAAAGCATTTCTACTACCATATATATATACCTCAGATTAGGCTATAAATATATATATTTTTTCATGTCAAGTATCTGGTCATTTTCACCATTATTTTGAAGAACTTTTATTCTTGTTAATTATTGTAGTACCGGTATTGATTGTTTCTGTAGAAAAAGGGTATTTTGAGTTTCTGCGTTGTAGTTAATTTTGTCACACATCCTTCATTTTGTTATTGTACATGTATTGTTGATTTACTTTAAATTAAAATTCTTTTACACCATATACTTTAATTCATTGTGTTCACTTCATTTCTGAACATTTCCACAACTAATTGGAATGTTGTTGAGAAATTACATTATTTCAAAGCTGTTTCAGTCACAGATCTACTTCATCTAGAGTAATGTGTTAAGAAATAACATGTCATCTGCAAAATCTGATTTTCTTCAACGGAATTATGCATAAAACCCCCGGTATTCATTGATAAGGGACCTTAAACTAATGACGGACAGTTGTGTCCAGCGCTCGTAAGCCTTACATATTTCTAGATGATAAAATACGTAATTAATTACATGGTCTGGTAGCGGCAGTGGAGTTTGAAGATTCAGCTAAAGAATTGAGCCCTGAGTTTGTAGCACAAATCGTCGCTCGATTAGTTTACCAGGCAAATGCCACAGTTTAGGCGTAGTAGATCGTTTATGAAGGGGGTTAAGCATTTGGCGTTTTTAATACAAGCATCGTACTCAGTCACCCATGAAAAGGTGTGGTCTACGGAGCAAATTATTATTGTTCCCTTAGTTTCCGAGTGGAATACACACCTCCATTTCATTCTGTTCTCTCCTGTCTTTTTAAGCCTGTTCTGTGAATACTAACAAGCTTTAATTTCCTCTTTACATGATCTCCTCCATGTCACTCTCGGACACACGCCAAAACTCGTCACTTTCCATTCGGGCTTCACTCGACGATCTCAGTGTGTGCCCATTACATCTCCATTTACTTCTGGATGTTTTTTTGGGTGATAGTTCCTTGGATGGTTCGTTGTCACAGTTCATCGTTGTTTATTTTTTTCAGGAGGTTGGCTTCTAATCTTCAGTATCGAGCCAACGAAGACGAGTTTTGATGAAAGTTGGTAGAAGGCTGTCAGAAATGCTTCTGGTGACGTGCACGGAGTCCTTGAGCCAAATGAAAGCACTGACTTGACATTGGTGATGGAAATTCGGATCTCGTCCTCAGTGCTGACAATCACCACACTCACTTCAGACCAGTGGACACCTGTCTTGCTTTTCCGAATAGCTGGTTGATTTTGACATCCACATCCATGCCGCCTGTAGTTAAAACGATGCCGCCCAAGTTGGTGAAAGACAGGAGTGTCTTTAGGTGTTTCCCATTGATAATGATTGATCCTTGTTGTTATTGGTTAAGTATCTTCACTTATGTTCTTCATGCTCCCTTGAATTTCTGTCTTTGCTACCTTTTCTGCCAAATTTTTGGTTATTGTCCGTAGATCTTCGAGTTTGTGCGACGTCAAACATAGATCATTTACGAAATCTAGATGTTCTAGAGACCTGTTGTCGGCTTAGCATTTGCCCGTCTTCTCGTTCTCCACGGTCTGTTGTATGATCGAATTCAGCATAATCAGGAATATGATCGGTGTGACTGCCAGCCATGTCTCAGTCTTCTCTTCTTTTCGAACAGTCTACTGAATCTTCCATTGTCAATCAAATTTCTTGATTACTGTGGTAGCTACTTTTGAGTCTTTTCTGCTGAATGTCTATTGATCGGTGATTTCTGAAATTTAAGACGATCATTTAATAACATCATTATTTAGTTTAAGTGATCTGACTTTTCCATGACAATTCACTTCGGAACAGACGGACTGAGAAGTAATGGGCATAGAAACAGTCAGATCATCTCTATACTTAACAAAATTGGCTTCATCAAACTGGTGCAAGTCATGTAAGGAGAAAGAACAACGCCTTGAGTAACCTCAGTTAGAGTAATTAAATAAGTAGAGGACTTCCCATTATATACAGTGTACTGCTTCCTGTTAGTCCAAGACCCTAACTTGTGTCGCAGCGAGCTTGTTTAACAAAAGAGGCCCAGGTACAGAGTCAAAGGCAGATGTGCAATCAAGGAAGGTATACTAGACATATTGGGCACTGTGTAAGATCACAGTGGCATCTAAACTACACTTCCTATGCTTACAAGCAAATTATTCAGGGTTGTTATTCCATTATTTCTAAAAAAGTTGAAGCAGTAGCAATAGGTCTAGAACTTAACACTTGGTGATTTAAGCATAGAAAAAATTTTACGATCCTTCCAAGAAGCAGACACCAAGTAAGTGAAAACACTGTCTTAAGCTAAATTAAATGGCTTTCCTGAGGGGTCACTTGCCGAGCTTTTGACTTGAAGTCTGACCTACAAGACAACAGAGCAACGTTAGAAGCTGTGTCATTATGGGTGCCACTGGCGAAAATGGTTTGTTTTCCATTCTGATTGTGTACTGTAAGTTTGAATCATCGTTTCCTAACTGCTTTAAATGAACCATTTGTTCTCATCGATTCGATGATGAAAACTTCACGCTTGCATTCACCCTTTCGCTATGTGAAGGTAGAGGATAAGGCATTCTCGATATAAGACCATTTCAGCAACAATTTTACTTACTCATGGTCATAGCAAGGCATTTAATGATTAGCCTTATTTAGTCAACTTATGCTGTACCACTGCTGATACTAATTTTCGATGAGAAATAACTAACTAAAGATTTCCTCTGTTATTCGCCGTCCCATGATTACTGAAGTAACCAGTTGCAGGATATCAATGAGATTTGTATTCAGCGAATGAATTGGATAAAATACATTTGATAAATATACTATGTACACATTTAGAAAAACCAACATACTGAGAAGAAATATATTCCTTTTCAATTAGTTCCTCATCAGCTGCTTTACAATCATGTATATATATATATATATATATATATATATATGGTTATGCTAGTTCTAAAGTATAGGAGGGGTGAAAACAACTGGTTAGAAATCATCAAGACAGTTAATTAGTAGAAGTTAGCAGCGGATTGTCAGTCAAAAAGAAATATAATTTTCGACGTAAAGAATTCAAGCTGAGTTTATTTTCAGGCAGTTTCGATGGTTTGTACAATAGTGATGACTAAGAAGAATACATAAATGTATGATGTAAGAGTACTAAGACAAAAATAAGTCAAGTGAATTAGCTAGAACATTAATCATGATAAATTAACAAAGTCAGGTGACAAAGATAAGGAAAATCATTTGTAATACTCTGTATGTATGTAAAGGGCCACAGATTTGGTTTGTTCAGATGGATCGCGATTATCTCTACCTTATTTAAAAGTCGTATTCGTGGAGAATGCGAAAGGTTGGGTGAAATACGATAAATAACTTAAAATGTTTTGTTAGTGTCAACGGGATGTTGTGTATCTGCGGGGTAAGCTAGTATTGAGTAAAGCTTCACTTGGTCTGTTAACTAACCAGAATGGGTAGTGTTTAGAAATTCAATGCTGAAATCGCCTAATCGTACGTCCAATGCAGTTAAACTGGTAAGTACACATGGAAGAGGAGAAACAAGGAATTCTATCTTTATTTTGTGAACAAAATATTAATTGGCTGGTGAATCAACAGAATAACTTTGCTGCGTTAATTCTTTTTGAAGGCTGTTAACATTCCCTGTAAATCGCAATCTTAGGAACACTGCTTTTTAGGAGCTGTAGGCACATTGAACTTTTTATTTTTGCCAAATCTATGTATTCATCTCTACTTAGTACATCACGAGTATTGATGAGTTCTTCGTCGTGTTTCATTTGAACAAACAAGTCTGGCACAGTGAACGACACATTTAACCAGATTTCATCTGTATTGTACTGAGACGAAACTCAGAGGGTGAGTATACTGACCAGTTGATGGAGGTTCCCAATGTAAACTTCTACATATTGTTTCATCTACTCGTTTACCTACAAGATAAAGTCATTCTGTTCTTCTTTAGTAAAAATTATTGCTGGTATTGTTAAGTATCTCCGATATGCACCTTGTTTCACTGTCTATCAGAAATCCAGGTCATTTATTGCATATTTGAGAGGACTATTCTCTAGTTTCTCCAGGAAAACGTCCGCTAGGATTTGACTCAGTAGTGACATCATAGCAACATCATTTGACAGCGTATACATCTACTTATTGAGGGGAAAATATACGTTCGCCGTGCATCTGTAAAGAAGTTTCTTCAGGGAACACACAGGAATACCAGTCTGCATACTTTCATTTATTATTTTATTGCATATATAATCTACTGTTTTTATCAAAGGCACATATGAATAAAGAGGATACGTCCAGAGATATCATGTACTAATTTTCACTTTTAGTTCTCCAATTCTTTTCACAAACTCAAAGCTGTCTTTGTATAACGGCTGTAAGGGTGCATCAGCCATTTCTCAGTTATGGTATGGTATGGTGAAATAGACATACTGACGACTGGTCCAATTGGCAAGCCGATTTTATAAATCTAGGACAGACCATGTAATCTCAATATCACCGTACCAACGGGCTTCATTGTTTCTTACAAAATTGGTGAAACGCAACTTTCCTGTTTCAACTCAATGACCATAAGCTGCTTTTCAGTCTTTTCTGTTGAATCTGTATTAGTTGGTGATTTCTGAAATTTAAAACGATCATTTAATAGTTTCATCATTTAGTTTACGAAATGGGACTTAACCAATGACAACAACTTTAGAGGCTTTGTCAGGTTTGGAGATCACTAAACTTTCGTTTTAGGCAATTTCAGTACTTTCTTTGAAATATCAATCACATTAAATCTACTACTCATGTTTGAGTAACAGTAGTCGACTAAAACTGACTTAAAACGTAACCTCTTCATTCGATGAAGGTATTAGGTCTTCATTCTGAGTATAGAAGCTTTCTAATTGAACTTGCATATCCATTTTAATGACTCTGTTATGACTATCGCAAAATTTAAGACTCAGAGACAATACTTCTAAATCTGTCCCCTCGTCTGTCTTATAATCCAGCCCACCACAATTAGGAATATCACTGGTGATAGTAGTCCTCACTGTCTTACTCAACTCTTCACTTCAAACGCCTAACTGGGTTTTCCTTTGTGAATCACTTGAGATGCGAATCATTATCATCATATACTTGTTGAATGAGGTTGATAAAGGTATGCAACAGTTCGTAATGTTGAAGTAGTTTCCAAGCTAATTTATGGTCAGGGTTATCGAATAATTATTCAAAGTCGACGAATTTGAGGTTTAAAGTCCACTTTTATTCTTTGCCTTGTCCAGTGAAAATGTTCAGTGTAAAAACATGATCCTTATATAACTTGTTTTTTGCCGATCTAGTACGTTCCGGCTAGAGTTCTGCATTCA